AGGTAATTAGTGCATGAGGGCGGAGCAGTTCCCTTTCCTTCCACTGGAGGTTATTAGACCCTCAAAGCTCCTCCTGTTGGGTTTCAAAAGGCCGGGGACGGGAGGGGGGGAAGGGTTATCTTTGGTGCTATGATTTAGGGAGATTCTTTTGCTTTCTTCTAAATTTTTGGGTATAAAAAGATCTGTGCTTGTATGTTTCATAGTAAATCTTTAAAAAAGTGACTATGGTGCTGGAGAGATGGCTGAGTGGTTAAGAGCACTGGCTTCTCTTCCAGAGGTCCTGAGTTCAATTCCCAGCACCCACATGGTGGCTCACAGCCATCTGTAGTGAGATCTGGCGCCCTCTGCTGGTGTGCAGGTGTCCACGCAGACAGAAAAGTGACTACAAAGAAAGGAAAAAAAAGCCATGAGAAATAGCATTCACTTTTAACCCTGTGTTAATCCCAGCATCAGGAGGAGGTCAGCCTGGTCTACAGAGTAAGTTCCAGGACAGCCAGGGCTACACAGAGAAACCCTGTCACGAAGAAACAAATAAACAGCCCGTCCCCCAAAAAAGAAAAAAAAAAAAAAAAAGCAAATTTTAGAGATCCCTAGACCTGAAATACTGAAAGGTATTTCTTGTTCTCTAGTTTGATGTGTATTATCTGAGAATAAAGCAAAAATTCTGTTCTTGCAGGTGAAATAGCTTAAGAACACTAGACAAGTTTGTGTGAAGTTCAAATCCCAGCAACAAAAATCAAAGGACTAAAATGAATGAATGTGTATGGTAAAATACTGTCCTATAGTGTGTGTGGCATCCTTGTTTTAGACTCTGATCTTTAATCTGAAGCCAGAAAGGTTAGATTAGTGTCAGACTCCCATCCCACCCCCCATCCCCCATCCCCCCCCAACAGGTAAGGGCTCCCATGGGGAGTGGACACAGTTTGGCAAATTAGGTTGGGGCAGGACCAAGCCCCTCCCCTCTGGTTAAGTCTGAGCATGGCATCCCCTCATTGGGAATGGGCTCTAACAAGCTAGCTCATGTACCAGAGACAGCAAAGTTATGTTTAAGTTTTAATTACTGCACCTAAGAGAGCTATGAGAGGCAAAAATGCTTCTAATCTGTAAGCCCCTTGCCCAAAGACAGACACTCCCTGAAGTGCTGGAGGCTCTTGTTTTTGCTCCCCCTTAACACATTTGTTTGACCCAGATATGCTTGATCACATGTAGATGGGAGGTATGTAGGCAGGAAATTAATCAGGATATATGCTTGCTCTTGATTGGACTTGATGGGGAATACATAGCCTTATGGGGTTGCCTTTTTTAACCCAATGCAAGATGTGACTCGTGGCCATTCCTTGGAATGGACCTGCCTAGAGTCCATCCTCCTGGCCGGTATTTAATTAAAGCCTCCTTCAGATTTGGATAAGACTGTGGTAATGGTCTTATTCTCCTGAGGTGGGATTAACACTTAGTATCCAGGAGTAACTTCAACTTGGTATTTTATAAGGAGAGAGGATGATGACAGGAAATCACGCACTTGTTAAACTTCTCTACTTGTTTGCTGCCTGTGTGCCTGCATGTGCACAAAGGCCGGAGGACGGCGTCCGGTCCTTGGAGCAGGAAGTTACAGGGGTTCGTGGATTCTTGGCACGTTATGGGTGCTGGTCTCTGAACTCTGGTCTTTCTGATTGTGTAACCAGTGCTCTTAACTCTAACTCTTGTTCTTCACTGTCAGGCACTGGCTTTTCTGTTTTGGTTTTTCTTTGTGGGTTTTTCCCCTTCCCTTCCCTTTCCTTCCTTCCTTTTTCTTTCTTTCTTTCTTTCTTTTTTTTTTTTTTATTATTTGTTTTGTTTTTGAAACAGGCTCTCTCTATGTAACCTTGACTGTCCTTGAACTCAGTATGTAGTATTTAGACCAGGCCAGCTTTGAACTCACCGAAATCTGCCCGCCATTGCCTTCTGAGTGTTGAGATTAAATGCATGGCACCTGGTTTTGTTTTGTTTTCTTGAGATGAGTCTCCATGTAAGCCAGGCTGGTCTTGAAGAATCCTCCTGCCTCTGCCTGCCGAGTAGAGGCAGTGGAAGATGACAGGCACATTGCCATCGTGCCTGGTCTTCCCTTTCTTGGTTTTATCCCTTCTGCGCTGCTGGGAATCCAGTCCAGTCTCCTTTTACTCTTCCCAATTCTTTATGGTGGGGGATGTCCTTCTGTATGCTTGAACATATGTTTCTCTAATGGGTTGACGAATAAAGCTGTTCCAGCCAATGGACAGGCAGGATGTAGCCAGGCAGGAAGTACAGGCGGGACTACCAGACGAGGAGAATTCTGGGAAGAGGAATGAGAGTGAGTTGCCGGAGAGATGCCATGTCGCTTCTGAGAGAGCAAGAGGCCCAGACGTCACCAGTATACCAAGACTACGTGGAGAGACACAGATTAATAGAAATGGGTTAATAATTAAGAGAGAGTTGGCCAGTAAGGAGCCTGAACCATAGACCAAACAGTTTATGATTAATACTATTCCCCTGTGTGTTTATAAATGACGCAGGACCTGGGGTGGGACAGGAACTTCTCTCCATCATTTCAAGCCTAGCTAATGGTGACCGTGCTGTGGTACTGGGACCTGTATTCCCATCCCCAGACGGGGAACTGTGGCATTGAGTGACCTTCAAGGTCATTTAGCTATCATGGGAGGGCTGGCATTTGAACCCAGATGTGCCTGCCTTCATGGTGGTGTTCTCATAACTTCTTTGCCTTAAGTTAATTCAGTCAGCTGTCCCTGGACGAAGCCCACCACTCTGCTTTGATGGTAGTCAGTGACTGAGCCTTTTGAGGCTCTCCCCACACAAGCAATGCTCCATCCTTCTGGTAGGAATGTCTATCAAATGCATCGTTGCTCAGAATCTGTGCCCCGTTTCTTGAGTTTGGATGGGCTTAGAAGACAAGGAGTAGGTGCTCATCTCTCGTGTTCGGGTTAGCTGCCCATGGAAAGATTGGAAAAACCTAGGGGATTGTGGGCTCCTCGTGTCTGAGGTGCTCTCTGGTTCTCACTTTCGACCTTTGGCAGGTAGAGCAAGTGTTAGCAGGTGTCTTTCACATGTGATGAAACTTAACCTCCACAAGGTTAACTGATTTTGTGTGGGGGCGGGGAAGGTTTGAGGCAGTGTTTCCTTAGCTTTGGAGCCTGCCCTGGAACTCTCTGTAGACTAGATTGGCCTGGAACTCACAGAAATTAGCCTGCCTCTGCCTCCTGAATGCCACCATCACTGACTGGGTAAGTGATTTATAGCCCCCCCAAAAGAATCTCACAGATAGTGAGCAACAGGGTTAATGATCTAATCCAATCCTCCTGGCTCCAGATCCAGTCAGTAAACCTCCCTTTGTGGTTAACCCCATCCCTGCAAGCTGAGCTTTGCTGTTGCCCTGGCAACGGTATAGAACTTTGGGTACCTGGAAACCTTGGCACTGCTTTCTCTGTGAGTCGCCAGGCTTAAATGAGGTCATCCCAGTGACACGTTCGTAGGCTTCATTTAAAGATGGGTTAAGGTTGAGGTCTTGGTCACCGAAAGCTGGTTGATTCCTAGCGGGCTTTTTGGCACATACGGCTGGTGCATTGCCATTTCTGGCCAGGGTCCTGGGAAGTGGGTTATAAAACAAGAAACCCACAGACAGAACAGTGGTCTGAAGTGAGGCTCCCTCCCTTGGTCTTCACTCTGCACCTGTGTTGTTATAGTCACTTGTCACCGAGCTGCTGCTGTGGGGTAACCATTAGGCACAGGTGAGGGTTTGCCTTTCTCCTGGCTTAAAGTGGCCATGGGTTATCCATGACTATAGGGGTCAGGGACACCGCAGTGCTAAGGCCATTTGAGATTTTGCCAGCAGGTGGCACTTGCTTCCTACTCTTACCAATCGAGTCTAAGAAACAAGGTGGTCTAGTTATTTATTACTGCTTTGTTTAACTAGGCCTAAGTACTCCTTTCCCTAGGGTAGTGTGTTAGTCCACAGTATCTGGCTAGACATCGCAATACATTTACCCTCTTCTCCCACAGTGGATTTGGAATTGTTTACAACATTCAGTACTTAATAGTAAAATATGAAAGGAGAATGTAAATCACCACAAGGAACATCAGGTTTTAATAAGGTCTGTTAGGAAACATTGTATCTTTTCCCACATATTTTTGAGGCAGGGTCATGCTGTGCGGTCCAGAACTCGTTAGACCAGCAAACGGCAGACCTCCGGTTTATGGCCATCCTCAGGCCTCAGTCTCTGGAATGTCAGACTTGCAGTCTGTCCCTCCCACCCCCACCCGGCTCCATCCTCCGGTCTTTAGATGAACGGGAAGGGGTGGGAGGAAAAGATGGCTTTTCTAGGGCAAGTATGTGTTCCCCTTCTCATGTCGCTAACTAACAAACCGTGCTCTTCCTGGCTGGCAAGCATGAAGCGGCGCCTTTATTGCTCTGCATCTCTTGGGTTCACACCCTTCATCCCATCAGCTTTGATTTCCGTCCATTCCTTTTCCACTTTGTCCTGGGGAACACAGGCGCATGGCTTGGATGGGCCTGCGTACCCAGAGCAATTTACGAGTCCCTTTGAGGCAGGCAGAGTCCTGCGTCTGAGACAACAAAGATGCAAAGTCGGTGTTAGGGTCATATTAACCAGTGTTCTGTCAAGTGCCAAGTCTGTCATTATAGGATTCTCAAATCGGTCAGACTCGATGCCTCAAGTTTCTCTTTAACAGGAAGTCGGATTAAAGCTGGCCTCCATCATCGACGGAGTTTGTATGGGGCCATGTGTTTCAGTAACTGGACAGGGGCTCCTAACTATTCCTTCCCAGACCCTTGAGTGGTTCTCGGTTGTCAATCAACCCTGCGAGACAGACCTTAGTCTCGCCACGCCCATCGCCGTGGAGGGTGCGGACAAAGATTAGGGGCGGGACCAGGCGAGCAGGGGGCTCGGAAACCAGACGGTGGAGCGGGTTCCTGGAGCTGGGGGTCAGCTCCCGGGGTCCCGGCGCGGTGGTGGCGGAGGCAGCTGGCACGCGGCTTTGTGGCGCGCGCAGGTTCCACTGGGTGTCGTGGAGGCACAGCCAGCGGGGACACTGTCTGGTCGCCGATGCCTCATGGCCAGCCCCGCGCGGTCCGGCTTCCCGGCGCGCACGAACAGCCGTCTGGACGCGTTCCTGCGGCGGCACCTGGCGCCCGAGGTCTACGACGCCGTCCGCGCCTACGAGCCGTGCATCGTGGTGTCCGACGCCGAGAAGCACACGTTCAAGTACGTTGTGCTCAGCGACCGGCTTATCTACCTGACCGAGAACCCGCCCAAGTCCATCCGGAGGGTCGTGGCTCTGCGGGACGTCCTGGCCATCGACCTGGTGAGGAGCGCGCGCGCGGGCTGGCGGGCGGGCTGGCGGGCTCCTTGCTGAGCTCTCGCATCCCCCCCCCCCCCCGGCACCAGAGAGAGGGGCACCCTCCCCATCCCGCCAGGACCACCCCACCTCTCACTGCCAGTGGAAGCAGCTGCGCGGGAAAGCTGGGGATGGCGGTAAAACTCCAAATAACCACGTGCCCCCTTTCTCGTCCCTGCCCACCCCCTGCACCCCGCACCCGGCCTCCGCTTGAGTTGACGACTCATCCCCCTGTAGGAACACGCCTGCAAGCCAACCTCTCGAGCCGGTGCGGGTGTGTGGGAGGAGCCGGAGCTCACACCCGCGCAAACAAACGCTACTGTTGAGTTAAGAGCTGCCGCGGGTCTTGTTTTCTCCCTAGCCGCTCGCTCGTGTTTAGTTTACATGTGACCGGTCCCGAATAAGTGAGGGACCGAGTGAGTTTGCGTGAGACGCGTACGATCCTTGCCCCTTTCCTCCATCCAAACTGGGTGGGGAAACTTCCTGGAAGGAGTGGCATCAGAACCGACTCTCGGGAGGCACAGCCTGGCCTCGCCCCGGTTTCTGGAGTGTTGCCACCATGTCCCTGTCCCCTGGGAACAGGTTGGCTGGAGACATAGCCTCCTCTCCGGTTTCCCCTCCCACTGCCTCCTGGTCGCTAAGTCTAAACTGCTTTCCAAGTGCTTCTTCCTTCTCCACTGGGACGGGTGTCTCGCCTCCTTTTACTCTCCCTTGCCTGAGCCTGTGGCCCCAGGGAGAAGTCAGCCAGGCTCCTGACAAAGGGAGCTGTTTTGCCGAGAGAACCGTAACCCGGTTTCAACACATTTAAAGGAAATAATAAAATTAAGTGGAGTTTCTTTTTTATTTTAAATTCAGATTTCCCTCCTCAGCCATGTTCCCATCGATTTTTATCTTTAAAACTTCTAGTTGATATACTTATTTTGTGTGCGCACGTGCATGTTTGTGAGTGCGTGTGTCACAGTGAGAATATGGAAGTCAGAGGACAGCTAGTATAAGTTCTCTCATCCTGAGGGTCCTGGGCTCGAACTCAGGTGTTGGGTCTTGGCACCCTTCCCTCAGGAGCCACGGCGCCAGTTCTATTTACTTCTTGTGTTGAGTAAAAGAAGTAAATCGTTGCCCTTATTTCCAGTGTTTTGAGTTAATTAAAAAAAAATTGCCTTTGCATTTTTTTAATCCAACAGTCCAGCCAGGATGCAGAAGACTATTAATGCATGATGACTAAGTTTAATCTCTCATTTTGCAAATGAAACGAAACAACTCCCCAAAGGAAACAACCAAAAAACCCCAGAAGAATATGTAATATTTATATATGGGCTGCACAAATCTAAGATATAAACATTTTAATAGGGTCATTGTTCCCCTTGGGCAATGGGAGTTGTTATAGCAATCTCTCCTTGAAGATAACCACACTCCAAACCCTTGGAATCTGTGACTATGTTATGCAACGTGACAAGGACAACAGACAATGCCACTCAACTGACTTTAAAATACAAGTCGAATGCCTGTAACCCCAGCACTCCAGAGATAGAGGCAGGAGGACCATGAGTTTGGGGCCAGCCTGGGCTACAGGGCAAGCCCTTGTTGAAAAAGCAAATAAACAGAGGCTGGAGAGATGGCCCATCAATTCAGTGTCTCACTGCTCTTCCGGAGAATCCAGTCAGTTTCCTATACCCACACCACATGCTTCACAACCTCCTGTAAGCCCAGCTCCAGGGCATCAGACACCCTGTGTGCACATGCGCATACCCTTCCTCTCGCATACACACACACAACTAAAAGAAACCATCTTTTAGAAAGTACATAAAGCCCAGCGGCGGTGGCACACGCCTTTAGTCCCAGCACTCAGGAGGCAGAGGCAGGCGGATCTATGTGAGTTCCAGGCCAGCCTGGTCTACAAAATGAATTCCAGGACAGCCAGGACTGCTACACACTGAAACCTTGTCTTGGGGGGGGGGGAAGGCAAATAAAATTGGATAAGTTAGTAGTATTCTGGTAGGCATGTAAGTAACAGAGGGAGAGACAGCCTGGGAAAGACCCATGCAGCCAATGTTAGTTTCAGAGGAAGAAGGGATTGGGTGTATGGGAAGGCAGCTGAAATCTAGGGGCTGAAAATGTCACGACAGGGTTCCCTGGGGCCTCCAGAAGGGAACAGGCCTACCAGTACCTTACTGTGGGCTCAGCAAGATCCACTCTTGTCTGTTTTTCTTTCCTGGGACTAAAGGCAGGCAGGGCCGGCCTTGTGAGTCCCAGGCAAGTGTCCTCCCACCCAGCCCCTGCTCACTGACCCCTCCCCCACCCCTCAAGTCTCCCCATTGGACTTCCCATCTCCACAACTAAAAGGAAGTAACTTTGTGTTGCTAAATGCCAGCAGGGCTGTGGCAATGAGTTATGTCGGCCATGCACACTGTAGGAAACTGATACACAATGTTTTCCTTACCGCATTTCAAGTGAGAAGGCTTAAAACTATTCTTCCTGAGAAATAATCCTGCCAAGCACAAAATTTTCCTTTTATCAGATTTTATAAAACACTTCTCAGATTATTATAGCATAGAGACTTATACTAAGCTCCATAGATTTCCCCTAAGGTAAATGAATGAAAATATATGGTTTTGGTTTTTCCTTCTCATCTTTTTCTTTCTTTTCTAATTCTCTCTTTTTTTTGTTTGTTTTTTTGCTTTTTGAGACAGAGTTTCTCTGTATTGTTTTGGAGCCTGTCCTGGAACTAGCTCTGTAGACCAGGCTGGCCTCAAACTCATGGAGATTAGCCTGCCTCTGCCTCCTGAGTGCTGGGACTAAAGGCATGCATCACCAATGCCCAGCCTATGTTTTTGGCTTTTCTAGACAGGGTTTCTCTGTGTAGTCCTGGCTGTCCTGGAACTTGCTCTGTAGGCTAGGCTGGCCTGGAACTCAGAGATCTGCCTGCCTCTGCCTCCTGACTATTGGGACTAAAGGTGTGAGCCAGCCACCAGTGCCCAGTGATCTATTTTTATTGTGTGTGTGTGCATATGAGAGCTGGTGCTTGTGGAAGCCAGAGGCATTGGATCCTGCTGGAGCTGGAGTTACATACAGGTGGTTCTAAGCTGCCCAGCTTGGGGGCTGGGAACTGAACTTGGTTTCCTGCAAGAGCATCCGAGCCATCTCTCCGCTCCCTAATTCCTAGGTCAACTGAAAGGTGGTCATCACAGAATTGCTTTATCTGGTACCAATGTGATGGGCTCATAGAAAATGTATAGAATTTTCTCAAAAAAAATTTTTTTTTGAATGGGCCTCAGTGATTATCACAGGCTGCCCTGGAACTTGCTTATCTGTTTAGGACTTGCTATTGTAGGCTGTCCTTCAATTGCAGGGACCTGCCTGCCTCTGCCTCCCAAGTGCACAAATGTTTCTGTACCATCACACCATGGTGGAGTTTCCTAGCTTTTAAAAATTCAATATTTTCACTAATTCTTTGAGAGTGTCATAGTCCCTAATTTCTTAGTCCCTCTGTGACATCCTGACACTGCCCAGCAGCTGAGTTAGTCCCCTTCCTCCCTGGGCGCTGTCCTCTCTCTGAGGCCGCTTCTTACACACCCTCCCCTTGTCCTGAGACGCCTCACCTTTCCCTACAAGCTCGTTTTCTGGTTACTTGACTCAGGTTCCCTCTCTGCCTTTGCCCCCTGTCACACGAATGACTGTAAGCCACAGAACAAGCGAGCCCCAGTGCTTCTGGGCCCAGCTCTCCCTGTGGGCTGTGTGACTAGACACCTTCTGTGAATCTAAGGCATAGTTACACACTTCAGGGAGATAAGCCAAAAGGCCAGCCAGCCAAGCAAACAGACTCAACAACCCTCCACACGGGTAGACCCAATCCCATTTTCTCTTCACAAGGAGAAAAAAAAAGGATGAAGGTAGTGGCTACAAAAAAAGTTAGATGAGAAATCTGCACGGTTTGCAGAAGGCGGAGTTTCTCTTTTAGGGAAAAAGAGTTTCAATGCACTTTAGGTCTTTACAGGCATTTTCTATGCTTCCTCTCAGTTTCCAAAAGCGTGAGCAAGCCTAGCTAAAGTGCTGATGTAGTCATTAAAGCTACTTTTGAAGGCACTCTCTAGAGTTCTGCTGTTGTATAGACTACACACACACACACACACACACACACACCCCACACACTCAGACAAACATACACTCACACACACACACACACACACACACCCCACACAGACAGATTGTTCTGCCTCAGCGTGAGTTGTATAGACAAACACACACACACACACCCCACACAGACAGATTGTTCTGCCCCAGCGTGAGTTGGTTCAGAGTTGTGAATCTGTCTTTCTCACGGCCTTTACCTTCAGGGTGTCCTCGGGGCTCGTGTGAGCGCTGTGAGGGTCAGAGCTCGCATGATCACCGGGTTGACGGTGTTCCGACAGCCTTCAGTACTTCTCCTTGTGGTGTTTCTGAACATCTTCCTCTATGTTGCAGTAGGGGCGCCTGTGACCTTTGCCACCATCCACAGACGTCTCCTCTGCCTGGGAGCCTTCGGCACACTCTTGGGGCTTTAGCTGTAATGAGTCCTCTTCCTGGGGTTTCCGTACCTGACCCTTGCTGGGTTCTTCACACCCAAGCTCAATTTCACCCTGTTCCTGCTTCATCCTCTTGTGGGGCCGAGCTGGCTCTTGAGTCTGCACACTGGTTCCTCTCTGTTCCTGACATTTCCCTGGATGGTCCGGGTTCATGGTTCCCCGCTGCGGGCGAGGCTGCCATGTACAGGGACTGCTTGGATCGCCTTTGCTCCGGTGTCGGCCTGACTCTCAGTGGATGCCCTTGGGTCGTTGCCCTCCTGATTGCTGAGGGGTCAGTTAAATCACTCCCAGTCATACTGGGAGTGTAGCTCCAAGGTTGGGAACTTAGGGTGAGGAGACCGGATTCCCTCTTCATCAGAGGAGGCGCCTTTGCTGTTTCGGTCATTCAGAATGGAAGTGGAGGTATCAGAAAATACTTTTCACCTGGTGAATAAATCAGTCTAATGCCTTTAAGGTGACAGTTCATCAGTCCCACTGTAGAAAACCAGGTGGAGTCCAGGCCCTGTGCCCTGGGGCAGGCGCTTTGGGGGACACAATCCAGAAATCACACCGAACCAGCTGGCCCGTTGCCTGAAGAGGCCAGCGTGCAGTGTAGCAGCACACTAGGGACACGCTCCAGAACTGATGGCCAGCTCAACTGTTGCCTTGGCCGCTGCTTCAAGATTCCATAGCTGGTTGTGATGCGGTTTTGACAGATCATAAATCCATGTTCCATTCTGGATTGACTTTGAGGTCTCCTGTGCTCAAGCCATTCCCAGGGTCACAGAACACTTCCTGTCGCCTGCGAGATGTAGGGCTCTCCAGCCCCGTGTCTGCAGGCCGGATGCCACGTCGCACTATGATGAGAATGGCCTTTCCCTAGGGCAGGCGGGAGGCTTAAAGTTTACTGTTCCTAGACGATGTTAAATCCTGAAAGGAAGTTGGCTTTTCTAGCCTTACTTCTACTACCCGATATCGAATTAGATACATGGATCTAAGTGTGGTCCAGCTGGTCTGCATTGAGTTCTGGAACAACCAGGAATTCGTAGTGATACTGTCTCAAAAATTAAAAACAATGATTCCAAATAGTAAAATTCCATCACTCATTCAGAAATTCTTTCTTTCCTTTTTAAACCCCTCATCCCCATGTGTCTATGTGTATTCGTGTGTGTTCTGTCATGCCTGTGTATTGATGTGTGTCATGATGCGTGTTTGCAGGCTGGAGAACAACTTAACTGGATTTTTCTCCTTCTACCTGGGAGCTCATACCACACACACACACACACACACACACACACACACACACAGACACACACACACACACACAGAGACACACACACACACACACACACAGAGACACACACAGACACACACACACACACCACACAGACACCCCCCCAGACACACACAGACATAGACACACACACACAGACACACACACCACTCACACCACACACACAGACACACACACACCACACACACACACACACACACACACACAGAGACACACACAGACAGACAGACACACACCACACAGACACCCCCCCAGACACACACAGACATAGACACACACACACAGACACACACCACTCACACCACACACACAGACACACACACACCACACACACACACACACACACACACAGAGACACACACAGACAGACAGACACACACCACACAGACACCCCCCCAGACACATACAGACACAGACACAGACACACAGACACACACACACCACACACAGATACACACACACACACACACACACACACACAGAGACACACACAGACAGACAGACACACACCACACAGACACCCCCCCAGACACACACAGACATAGACACACACACAGACACACACACATAGACACACACACCACTCACACCACACACACAGACACACAGACACACACACACCACACACAGATACACACATACAGACACACACAGACACACACACAGACACACACACACACATACCACACACAGACATATTAAAACATTCAAAACAATGACGTCAAGGGGTGTTTTAAGAAAAACACCATTGCTTTTTATTGAATGATCCTATGGGGTAAATGGTCTCTTGGCCTCTGTTGCTTTTTTTTTTTTTTTTTTTTTTTTTTTTTAGAACTAGAGCAAATGGAAGAAGCTGAGAACAAGAAGAGAAGACATGCCCCAGTGGAGAACTATGAAAACAACTCACATTCAATGTGTTCTCAGTTTGTGGCATTTATTTTTCCCCAAGAGAGTAGGCGTTGTGTTCAGTGAGGTCAATTTCTTTTTTCCCCCAGATTGATGATTACCCAGAATTTTTGAATTCGTCAGATAGAGAAATCAACCAGCACATTCGTATTGTTTATTCCTCAACGGCTCTGAAAAAAGAGTGTGGGAAATCCAAAGGTGTTGGGAAATTCCTGGTCTCACTTCACCGCAGCAAAGCTAACAAGAAAGGTATGTAGTGCATGACATGAGAAAACAAATCAGGGCTGGAGAGATGGCTCAGAGGTCCTGAGTTCAATTCCCAGCAACCACATGGCGGCTCACAGCCATCTGTAATGAGATCTGGCGCCCTCTTCTGGCCTGCAGGGATACGTGCAGACGGGACAATGTATAATAAATAAATACATAGATAAAGCTTAAAAAAAGTTTAAAAGAAAAAATAAAACAAATCATCTGTCCTTTCCTTTCCTTTTAAAGTCAAGGCTTCCCTATCTTTTGACACCCATAGATTAAAAACGTTTTTTTTTTTTTTACTGGTGAAGTATATCGGGGAAAAAAGGAAGGCTTGTAAACCTGGGTCTAGACTATCCATCGGCCATCCCTCCTGCCTTGCACCTCCCAGTAGGGAGGGATGGTCATTTAACAGTACTTATTCTTCAAAACTAATTTTTAGAACTGGACGTGGTGGCACACACCTGTAGTCTCAGCACTTGGAAGGCTGAGACAGGGGAATTACAAGTTCAACACAAACTCCCATCCAAAAAAAAAAAAAAAAAAAAAAAAAGAAAAAGAAAAACAAAAGAGAAAAGTTGCTACTAATGCATCCCTGGCAGCAGTTAGAGAGGTAGGACAAGTTATATTAGATCCTTTGAACGGAGACCTTGGTATCTAGGTGGGAATTGACTCTGGCTGTGGCATTGGATGAGGGTCATTGGATAGAAAATGTCTAAGAAGCAGCATCCAAGTCATGGGCGTTCAGCCAGTTTGACCAAGCAGGATGCTTGCTGAAGGCAAGCTGGGGTGGTCAGACATTACCTGGGGGGAAATATGGAAGATGGGGAACCAAATTAGACACATAGAGTGACCACACACAGAAGAGGCACAGCTCTGGGAGTCTTAGTTTTGAGATTGTGTTTGCTGTACACCTCAGGTCTGTGGTTGAAAGGACTTGCTGTTCTTACAGAGGACCTAAGTTCAGTTCCCAGCACCCACAGTTGGCTCACAGCCACCCATAACTCTGGTTCCAGGGCATCCAATGCCCTCTTCTGACCTACATGGGTACCAGAAACAGAGTTGTGCATGCATCCATGCAGGCAAAACACGCATACACATTAAATACATAAATAAATCAATAATAAAAATGATTGCCTCCTAAGCATAGAAGAAGAAATGAAGGGCTGAGGCGGCCTGTGGACAACTCCTTCTTTGGGTATCAAGTAGAGAAAACTATTCACTGTCCACTGGACTCCACTCCAAGTCAGCACGAGAGCCTTCCAGAGTGTCAGACAGCTGCCCCGTGGAAGGAGGTTGTATGTTGTTTTTTCCCTTGTGCGGACAAGCTCCTCTCCACACGGGTAGCTCCGGCATGGAAACTGTTTGTCCCGGGCATAATTAGCAGCGTTATGAAATCCCTGGTTGCTCACCAGGTCTCTTGTTACACTAATTAGGGTATCGAACTGGTGTTGCTTGCCTTAAATGCATATTCGGCCTGCCCACAAACACAGTTCTCTTGGCTCTTTTTCAACATGGATAGGAGCGTGAAAACATATCAAAAGAACATAATGGAGTGGGCTGAAGTTTAGTGAAATTGCAATGTCCAGAAACTTTGGAAATGATTATTAAACAGTGAAGACATTACGTCATGTACCTGTGCATGGCTAGTCAGAGTCCCTTCTCCTATTTGCTCTTTAGTTTCACCCCCAAAGATATTCTGTGACACCTTGTTCTGCTAGCTGGCCTGGCGATCACAGAGATCCGCCTGCCTCTGCCTCCTGAGTGCCTGGATTAAAGGCGTACGCCACCATTCCTGGCCCCGTCTGACATTTTTGAGCAGGTTTTTGTGGAAACACAATGCTACCGCCCCCAGGAGAAGAGATGATACACATTACAAGATAAAAACCACTCCTCCCTTCCATCACAATAATGTTGATATGCTCTGTATTTACTGTGGTCCTGCATGCTGTTTGGTTAGGGTATTCCTATATATGAAGCACCCCATGGTTTGCTTCCTGTAGGACCCTGCGGCTCACCTCTGTAGGATCCCATGGCTCACCTCTTAGATGATGTGTTATGTGGCCCTGCAGGGAGGAGTAGACTCATGCCTCTGATCAGCTGTGTGAAAATAGTCATTACCGAAGTCTTTAATATTAAGGATGATGTCATGGCCAAGAGAAGCCAGCAGGCATTAACTAGGGAGTTAAATAAAGGTAATTATTAGGACTGACTTGTAACCTCTTGGGTGAAAGCCCAGGGAATATTTTTATCATGTGGCAAAGTTGTCCACTCTCCTGTCACCTTCATTATCTGAGCAAAGGGAACTCACAGAGCAGATCACCCGTAGTAAAAATGCCTGGTTTAAATCACCAGACACGGTTATTGGGCCCAGCCCCAGCCCCCCCCCCACCCCCGTGGTACAGAGGAAAAGCAGTTTTTCCTAATGACCATGTGTGTTCCTTGTGCGGGCCTCTGTCAGCATTTTAAATTTCTGGGTTTTGAGCGGGAGTGGTTATTGAGCGGGCGTGGCTCATCAGCTTTCCTTTACTGAACCAGCATCTGAGATGATAGAGGCACCAAAGGAAAGGCTCAGTTTGGCACATGCTTCGTGTCCACTGCCAGTTGACGCTGGCGTCTTGGGGCCTGGCACGGCAGCATGGGGTGGAAGGGAGCGTGGTAGAACAAGGTGTTCACCTCAGGCTAGTTCCGAAGGGTAGGGCAAGGGGGGAGGGGGTCCAGGTCCTCATATCCCCTCATGCTTTCATTTACTTCCTCCTGGGTCCCCACCTCGTGAAAGTTCTACCACCTTCCAGCAGTGGTGCGGGCTTGGCAGTAAGCCCTTGGGAGACAATGCATCCCAAACTATAGCAAACTCTTCAGGAACAAAACCTCTGGCAACCGAGTGCCAGCGGTGAACTCTTCTGAAGTTCTGGAATAGTTGTACCTAGAATCACTTGGTTTCGGGTATGCTCTAGACCAGCAAAACTTGCTGCCATCATGGACGTACTTTACATCGAGTTGAAATATGTCTAACACTGCCACATTTGGCCATCAAACATGAATGCTTTTGAGTGACTGAATTTCAATTTGGGTTTAAACAGTTCCATGTGACTAGTGGTCATTGTCATAGCTCTGGAACCGCAGAGGGCATCTTAGAGACTTGAAGAAAACCACACTGAAATAGGATGTAACAAAATGGAACAGAATGCGGTGTGGTGGATCATGATTGTGATGCCAGCAGGTACCTGGGAGGTAGAGGCAGGAGGATCAGGAATTAAAGGTCACCCTTATCTGCATAGTGAGTTTGAGGCAGGCCTCAGCTACACAAACCATTGTCTCAAAAATCAAAAGCTTGGGCTGGAGAGGTGGCTCAGCAGTAAGAGTGAGGACTGTTGTGAGTAAGATTTCCCCTTCAGTCTGGTCCCACCGCTGCGCCAGCCCTACGTAACACACTGAGACACTGTATTTGATATAAAGCGGTTGGCCAGTTACTAGAATTTCTTATTGGCTAGCTCTGTCTTAAATATTAACCCATTTCTATTAATCTAAGTGTTTCCACGTGGTCTCATCTTACTGGAAAGAGGGGCTGGTGTTCTCTGTCAGTTCGCCGCCTTGGATCTCTTCCCTACTCCTTCCTGTCTCCTCCTAGTCCTGCCTATCTTGCTTTCCTATTGGCCAACAGTGCTTTATTCATTAACCAGTAAAAGAATGACAGAATGACATCTCCCATCAGACTGTTTTTCCAGAGAACCCAGGTTCAGTTCCCAGCACCCACATGGCAGTTCACAACTGTCTGTAACCCCAGTTCCAGGGGACCTGACATCCTCATACCAGTGCACATGAGAGGGAGGGGAGAGAGGGAGGGAGAGAGGGAGGGAGGGGAGAGGGAGAGGGAGAGAAAGCTGCACAGCTACTGTGGTAGCACAGCATTTGGGAGGTAGAGGTAAAGTGGCCAATGCTAGTCCCAGGCCAGCCTGGTCTACATAGCAAGTTCCAGGCCAGCAAGGCTACACAGAGAAACAAGAACAAAGGAAATGTAACCAAAAGTTCGTCTGCATCTATATTTGTACATACATGCACACATATGTATATGGAAGCTAAAACCAAGGACATTTCCTGATGCTAATGAGTTGGGGAAGATCTAAAACCAGAACAAGGTTCTGGGGAGTCTCTCAGGTTGGATGGAGAGTTGTTATGTAACTCAGCTTGAGCGTCTTCACAGGAAGAGGACTTTCTCCCCCTGTGTAATCTCCCCCTGTGTAGAGAAAGCACATTCGTTACTCTGTAGTCGGCTCTGATAGTATAAATGACACTTAAGGAGAAGGGCTTATGTGTCTTACCGTTTTAGGGTACAGTACACCACTGTGGGATGGTGAAGGCAGGACCTGAGGCAGATAGTCACACCCACAGGCAGGGGCAGAGAGAAGGTGTGTGCACACGCACGTCCATGCTTTAGTAAAATGCTGATTGGCTAGGAGCCTGGTAGGAAGTACAGGCGGGGTGACCAAACCGAGGATGATGGGAAGGAGAAGAGTGGAACTGAGAATTGTCAGCCAGACGCAGAAGGAGCAGGGGATAAACACGCCATGCCAATAAAAGCTCAGCCGTTGTTATGGAATATAACCGGTTTAACTTAAAATGTAAGAGCTAGTTAGTAATAAGCCTGAGCTATTGGCAGAGCATTTATAATGTACATTAAGCCTTTGAGTCTGTTATTTGGGAACAGGCCGGCAGGAGAGAATTATCTGATTACAGGGAGCCTTTTCCCACTTCAGTTAACATATCAGGACAATTCCCCACAGACATTCTCACAGGCCGACCTGACGTAAAAGCCCCTCACTGAGACTTTCTTCCAGGTGATCCTATATGTGTTGACAGTCAAAATTAGCCATCATAGAGCCCCTTCTAAAAAGTGTCTTTAGTGTGTGTGTGTTGGGACTTTTTTTTTGTACAAGTTTGTGCATGTGGCACACATACATGTTTCTGTGGGCATATGCATGTGTATACATACATGTTGAGTCCAGAGATCTATATCCGGTGTCTTTGTTGGTTTCTCTCCAGCTTGTTTTTTGAGGCGGGGCCCTTCACTGAACCTGGAGTTTATGGATGGAGCTAAGCTGGCTTGCCGATGGGTTCCAGGGATCCTTCCTATAACCCCCATCCCAGAGCTGGGGTCACAGACACATACTGCTACCTGTAATCTTTACATGGTGCTGGGGTCCCTTCTCAGGTTCTTGTGTGGCAGGCATTTTTTTGACTGAACCGATTCCCAGCCCCGTGGAAAATGTTTTCACCTGGGTAACACCATGAACATTGCATCCAAAATCTGTGGGGCTAGCTGACTGAAGACTCAGTGTCTAAGCCATTTGCCCTCTGAAGAATGGAATGTAGGGATCAGACATTCCACCAACCACAAAGCCAACGAAGTTCTAACTCACTTCCGGGCACAGAGCACATTGTCCCCATTACAATGAAGACTTCAAGTCAACAGAAACAGACAGTGACGTTGGCACTGAGAGTTGTTGTGTCACTACCCTTTAATGACATTAGACCATATGAACTCAAATTACTTAACTAATGACCACATTGCATTTTTGTCTTTAAGTCAAGCAAGATAATAATGGACCCAGGTTTTGGAGAAGAAAAGATTCTAGGAGTCTGGACAAATCCTCTCTCAGGTAAGATTATTTTGACTTGCTGATTAAAACTTATATCGCAGTTTGAATTGTTTTTAAAATACTTTTATTTATATATTGTGTGTGATGTGAGTGCATGGGTGTGTGCATGTGAGTGTGTACATGAGTGTGTGCATGAAAATGTGTGCGTGTGAGTATATATATGCAAGCGTATGCACAAGTGTGTGCATATGTGTGTACATGAGTGTATGCATGTGAGTGTTGCATGAGTGTGTGCAGCTGAGAGTGTGCAGGTAAGAATGTACATGAGCGTGTGTGTGAGTGTGTACATGAGTGAGTGCATGAGTGTGTGCAGGTGAGTGTGCACATGAGCGTGTGTGAGTGTACATGAGTGCATGAATGTGTACATGAGTGTGCAGGTGAGACTGTGCACATGAGCATGTGTGTGAGTACATGAGTGTGTGCATGTGTGTGCAGGGGAGAGTGTGCACATGAGCGTTGTGTGAGTACATGAGTGTGTGCATGAGTGTGTACATGTGTGTGCAGGTGAGAGTGTGCACATGAGCGTGTTTGTGAGTGTGTACACTAGTGTGTGCATGTGTGTGCAGGGGAGACTGTGCACATGAGCGTGTGCAGGTGAGTGCACACAGTGTGCCCATTGAGGGTGCCTCGCAAGAGTAGATTCTCTCCTGTATTGTGGGTTCTGGGAATTAAATTTAGGTCATCCGCCTGCCTTGGTGGTTGGTACCTTCGCCTGCTGAACCATCTCTCTGGCCCTCAGTTTTATAATATATTTTTCTATTAGTCACTTTATATTCATTTTGTGTATCTCATGTGTACAGCAATAAAAAAAAAAGTATTTTGAAGAAAACTTTCCCAAATTAAAATCCAGTTAGTTAAAATAACACAACATAATAACAATGATTTTTCATTTTCACGGGATATATAGATGTTACAATGTCACTTTAGTAAATTAAAGTTGAATTAAAGATAATTATTGACCTTGAACTCTGTGTGGAACAAAATGTTAGGGCTTGTAACATTCCTCTTGGTTTTGCTATTCCTTTTTGAGGCAGGGTCTCATACAGCCAGTGCTGGCCTCTGACTCATTATGGAACTAGGGATGGCCTTGAACCCCCGATTCCTCTGTCTTCACCTTTCTAGTGTGTGGATTACAGGCTACCTCGCCTTTTTAAAAAATGCCATGGTTCTGGGTACCAAACCCAGGACTTTGTGCATCTGAGGCAAGCACTTTCCATGTGGGTTACATCCCTAGCCCTGCGCCCTGTAAAGGACACAAAGGTGAATGAGGCATAGTTCTTGTCCTTGAGAAGTCTAACCAGGCTTCATAACATCTGTCTGGAAGTTATCTAAAAGTAAATATGCTGGGTGCTCTAGATGAATTGAAGCAGCTTGTCTAAGAGATTTAAAGAGGGGAGAATTAAATTCAGTTGTTGGGGGAGAGGTCAGGGTTCCAGGCGACAGCTGGTAATGGGATAGTCCACAAAGAGATGGGCTACCACGGAGAGTGGCTGTGAAGACCTGGGCAGATAATACATGGAATATGAATTATGCTGGGTGACTCATCTTGATTGTCAACTTGACACCAGGGAAGAGACCTCAAGAACTGCTTCCATCAGATGGCCTGTGCCGTGTAAGCAGTGCCGTGTGGCCTCAAAAATGGGGTTCATGTTTTAGAAGGCCTTTAAAATGTATTTGTTTTATTTTTGGTTGTGAACCTAGCCTTTAATGGTGAGTCATCTCTCCAGCCCAACCTTTTTGTTTTATTATTTATTTGTGTGTGTGTGTGTGTGTGTGTGTGTTTATAGAGGCTGGAAGAGGACATTACATCCTGACTTTTTTTAAAAAAGATATTCTGTTTTCATAACTTCAAGTATAATACTGTTATACAATGGAGTGTCTGGACCAGAAGGATTCTAAGAGCTTCCCGTGCAGAGATAGATGGGCATGAGGAGAATTCCTGTGGTGGGAGGAGAAGTTGGTATCAGCACATTATCACAAAGTGCTGGACACGTGACCTCCTGCCTGGGGAGCGTGGGAAGCCTGTGGTCTGCAGGATCTCCTCGTGTTCTGTTTCAGGTGGAGTTACTATTGCAGGAATGAAACACCATGACCAAACAGGCAATTAGTGCCTTGGTCAGTGTTCTATTGCTGTGAAGAGACATCAAGACCACGGCAACTCTTATCAACGGCATCATTTAACGGGGGCTGGCTTACAGTTTAAGAGGGTTAGTCCAGCTGGGTGATGGTGGCCGCGCACACCTTGAGTCCCAGCACTCAGGAGGCAGAGGCAGGTGGGTCTCTGTGAGTTTGAGGCCAGCCTGGTCTACAGAGCGACTACATGGTGAGACCCGTCTCAAAACAAACACACAGAAGAGGTGAGGCTTGGGAGAGGCTCAGTGATAAAAGCACTGACTGTTCTTCCAGAGGACCCAGGTTCAACATGACAGCTCACAGCTTTCTGTAACTCCAATTCTAGGGGATCCGACACCCTCACACAGGCAAAAACACCAAAGCACATGAAATGAAAGTAAATAAAATTTTAAAGAAAGGTATTTGGGGGATGGGGTGCAGGACAGTGGTAAAGCCCTTGCCTAGCCGTAGGTTTAATACCCAGAACTAAAAAAACCAAAACAAAACCTAAAATATCAAAACACCAAACCTTCCAACCAAACATTTGGGACAAAAATGTTGTCTACAGTAACTGTAATCTTCATGGAGGTGTTTGGATTATGGTGTAAGATGCAAAGAATCTCCATGTTCCTGCCAGCACTTTCCAGGCTTCTGAGGTTCCAAGTTCCAATTCTATTTGAAGCTAAAACATCCAGGAAAACCAAATGGCTGAGGCAGAATGGGCGTTCTCTTTAGCCCTGCAAGCCCAGGTCAAAACAGTCATCCAGGCCAACTTCTAACGGTGGTGTTGGGGCAGGGACGCCAGCCTGTGACTGAATGCTGCCCTCCAGGTTCCCCGTGGGGTGCTGGTGGCAGTTTGTGGGGTACCATTCAGGGGTATGTAGGATGGCCATTATGCATGGCCAGTTTCTCTGACTTTGTCTACTCACCGCTGGAAAGAAGCGCTCCCTGTCCATGGCAAGAACTAAGATGGCCACCAAATTCGTGCTGTGAACTCCTCCCAGGAGTGGAACACTTGTCAAGGGTTTGTTTCTGTTTCTCCCCTGCACCGTGTTGCAGGGTATTTGTTTACATTGGGTGAAGATGTGTTGTTGTGATTGGTTTCCTAAGAAGCCAAACGGCCAGTAGAGAGGCAAGAGAGAATAGGCTGGACTTCCGGGGGGAGAGAGAGGAACTCAGTAGATCTTTGGGGCAGCAATAACAAGAGAGAGGGAGCTTGGGGCTGGAGAGATGGCTCAGAGGTTAAGAGCACCCTCTGCTCTTCCAGAGGACCCTCACGCAGGCATGCATGCAGGCAGAGCACCAATGCCCATAAAATAGAAATAATTTAAAAAATTGCTTAAAAAAAAAAAGAGGAAGCTCGTTTCCTTAGGCTATATGCTTATTTGTCATGGCTGAGCAAGGGAGGACCACTGGAGATCCTAGGGTGAGGGTACCTTGATGCCCACCCCCCTTGGCATCAGCTTTGGAGCGCTCCAGTTTCATGTTAAGGAAGATCACCCCAAAGTACAGAAGGACCCCTGTCACCAGTGCGAACTATTTGTCCGTTACATAAAAGCCGCAGGGCATACATTATCCTGATAACAGCTTGTCAGTCTGCTGGAAGAGCTGGTTTCCCGGAAGCCCTCCTTTGAGCTCCTGCTGAGGCTGGGATGGTTACAGGGATCTAAATTTGCTCATTAGTGAGCCAGAGCCTGGGACGTCCACGTAACGTGCCAAGGTTGGGACAAGTGTCCCTTGTCACTTCTCCAACTAGTCACAGGGCCAAGGCACACCCCCCTGTTCTATCCGGACCCCTCTAACAAGGTTTGTGACTGTCCCACTGGGGTAGCTGACTGAAAAATACCAGTGGCTCTGAAAACAGGACAGCTTGTGCGTCCCACCTGCGGACTCCCGGGGGTCTCTGAATAAAGGGTGTAGGGACAGAGGTGTCTGTTTTGTGAGCGTGTCCTGGCAGTGTCATCTCCATAATTAAATGTCAGGGTCAGGAACCTAAACAAAAGGCAGGCTGGGTGGAAAACACTAATTCGAGGGCCAGTGGATGCGCACAGGTGCAGAGCTTCGCAGCACCTCCTAGATGTAGGCTGGAGCCTAATTATGAAAAGCTGCCGGTCAGAAGGACGCTGCTATCTTGGGACATCAGACTTACATAAGTGCAGTCCCTTTCAGGATAGTGATAAACGACAGGCTTGTAAGTACCCGAGGGATGCAAAGCCGACTAGTGAATGCTGGCAATGAGGTCTAGGCTTCTCTCTCCTTAGGAAAGCTTCGCTAGTGGGTTCATAGATCTTACAGAAGAAAACACAGGGAGGTACTTTGTTGTTAACTCCGGTTTCCATGCTGGGGCAGCCAGCATTCTTACCTTCCCAGCCATCTCCTCTCCTTTTTGTTTTTTCCCAAAGATTTATTTATTTGTGATGTATATACAATGTTCTGCCCGCAGGCCAGAAGAGGGCGCCAGATCTCATTACAGATGGTTGTGAGCCTCCATGTGGTTGCTGGGAATTGAACTCAGGTCCTCTGGAAGAGCAGACAGTGGTCTTAACAGCTGAACCGTCTCTACAGCCCTTTGTTGTTGTGTTTGTTTGTTTTCTTAAAGGAAAAAGTATCTTCTGGCCTAGTTAAGAGTTCTGTAAACCTGGGAGCTAGGGGTATGAAAGCCAAGCTCTCCTGTGGTTTGTTCATGGAATCTTGGGTTGTTTAGGACAGCAGCTCAGTTTAGAGCGCCACCTTCCTGGTGGCCGTTTCTAGAGATGCCGCTTGAACAAGTCTGTGCGGCATCTGTAACTGAAGGCATGCGGACTACATCATGTGATGTACACGTTGAAAGGCAGACTCTAGATGTGGAAAGTGTGCCGTGTGACACGTGATCTCATGTGACGTGGCTGCAGCGATATAGACCGTGGGTTCCTTACACGGGGGGCTTTGGATGCTTCAGACTTAAGTGACCGTGTCTCACATAGATAGGGCACCTAGCCCTTGCAGCTCCACAGACACAGGAACTTAAACATCCAGGGCGCAAACCCGAGTGCAAAGACGTTCTGTCTTCTTTCTACCATATCCACACTTGCCTCTTTCCCAAGACGCCATTGCAAGCACATCCTCCTTTAACTGAACAAGTATTGCAAAGCGAGAAAGACGGGGATGGTGTCATTTGGGTGGAACTCACTGAAATAAATGACGATAGAAGGGCTGGAGAAACGGCTCAGTGCGTAAGAGGGCTTGCGGCTCTCACAGAAAGCTGGAGTTTGCTTCCGAGCGTCGATGTCGGGTGACTCCAGCTCATGTGGTACCAACTTAGGGCCTTGGTGGGTACCCATACACACGTGCACATCTACATGCCTAAGTAAAAATAGAGTCAACCTCTTAAAATGGGAATGGCGACAGCAGAAAAGATTAACCCCTAACCTCCCTTTCTTCTTGGCAATCATTCCGTCCTTTTCTCTGTTCTCGGGGTTCTCAGCGATGGCAAGCATCTTGGAGAAGGATGGGGACTCTTTTTTTCTCCTTTCAGATGCACTGAATCTCTGTAGTATTGTGACAGGAGACAAAGGCTCGGTGATCCTAGGATTCGGTCACTGTGTGAATACTCAGCAGTGTTTGCTCACCTCAGTGCATGTTCCCGGCAGCTGCTTAACCCTCACTCTGAAACTCAATGCCTTGTACACACCCTTGAGTATTTACTGTGGCCGCAGCATTACCCAAGAGGAGCTTTTGTGTGTGTGTGTGTGTGTGTGTGACCGTTTCATAACTGCCCTATAGATGTTGTTGTTGAGTTAAAATGGCTCCTGCCTAAACTTTAAAGAAGTAACATGTCAATTAAAGCCACAGGATTTGAGATGAGGAGAGGGAGCCGGTGGTTGGAACTTAGAACGGTCGATAGTACTATACAGGAATGGATGCTGTTTGTTTGAAATTAACCTAAGACATGGGCTGGAGGGATGGCTCAGTGTTGAGCGCACTGGCAGCTCTAGCAGAGGACATAGGTTCTATTCCCAGCACCCACATGGTAGCTCAGAACTGTCTGGAACTCCAGATCCAAAGGATCTGATGCCCTGTATGGCCTACACTAGGCATACATGTTGGGCACAGATAGATATGCAGGCAAAACATCTATGTAAACATATATTAAAATTAAATACTGAAAACAAACAAAAAACCAGCAACAAAAATAAACCCCCTAATCTAAGACCTGATTTTTAAAAAGTGCCTTTCAGTTTTGTGGAGGTTCTAACCCTATGGCAGAGAAAGGCACCCTTAGAATAAGAATAAGCAACTCTTTATAAGAGCTGCTGCGGTCATGGTGTCTCTTCACAGCAATAGAAACCCCAACTGAGACAGGATGACATTTGTATGGTTTCATTTCTGAAAGCAAAAGGACACACTAAGAGATAGCCATGCCCTATTTCTACTAGTCAGTAGCAAGAGCAAGTGTATTAGTTACCTTTTCCATTGCTGTGACAAGGTACTTGACTTAAGTATGGAGGAGCATATTATGGCTCATGGTTTTAGAAGTTTCTGCTCATGATGGAGGGAAAGGCATGGCAAAGTCGCTCAGTCTTTGGCGGTGGCAGTGTGTTTTGGTGTCTGTTCATATTGTGGTAGACCAGGGACCTACTTTTACCATCCAGGCGCCATGGCAGAAGGGCTCTATAGCCTTCAAAATGGCACCGTGGCTGGGGAGTAAGAACTCAAAACAGCAACTTGAGATTCAAACTGCAAGGGCAAGTGAAGCCTGGCCACGCCCCTCTCATGAGCTGCATTGCCTTTCCATGAAGTTAGTGGCTTTCAGAGTGGAAACGGGCGGCTGGATTCCCTTGGCTCCTCTCTGTTGGGTCCTAAGTTAATAGTCATTTCTACCCACAGGTCCAACTAGGAGGGCAGCATGCCATTCAAGGACTCACTGCCCTGTCCTTCAGACCTCAAGCATCTGTCCCTCCCTAGCCCAGGTGCCTCTCTGCCTTTACCTATTCCCTCTAGGAGCTGTCAGTCTCCAGAAGCTTCCGGCTGGGCTGCCGGCTGGATGTCTTTTGCGTCAAACACAGAAGAGCCCCAGGAGCCTCCAGATCACAAAGACTGCTCAAGTGAAATTCCTGTCAGGTTCGATGGGAACAGGAATGAGGTCCGCTTGGGAAATTCTCTCCCAGCTTCTCCTAAGCACAGTAGCTCTGGCCTAGAGAAGGAGGAGTCAGAACTTCATCTGTACATCATTTCTGAGACCTCCTCGATATTTCTGCACTTGAAGAGTTCGTGGAACAACTACATTATAGTAAGTGCCCTCACGCTAGCCTCGACCCCAATGTGTTTGCTTTTTGGAGGGATGGCGGTGGGGGTGGGGTGGGGTGGGGGTGGGGTAAACATGCTCTCCTGTTCTCCCACTCCATTTTGAGGCTTTAGCCTTGGAATTTACAGATTGTTGTGAAAGAGAAGTAAGGGGAGATTTTATTCAGGTATTTGGGGTAAGGAGAAACGCTTATTAATGATTAATGGCTTGGGGGCCGGAGAGTCAGAGTTGGCTCGGCCGGCCGGTTAGAGCACTGGCTGCCCTTGCAGAGGGCCCCTGGGTTTGATTCCCAGCACCCACAAGGCAGCGCGTAACCATCTGTAGCTCCAGTTCCAGGGCATTGATGCCCTTTTCTGGTCTCCTTGGGAACCAGGCATGTATGTGGTACACATGTATATGTGCAGACAAAGCGTGTGTGTGCGTGTGTGTGTGTGTGTGTGTGTGTGTGTGTGTGTCAGAGAGAGAGAGAATAGTAGTGTCTTGGGGAAGGAGGAAGAACCGGGATTTTTGAGGGGGCAAGGAAGCAAAGACAGCCATGATGGAGTCTTCCCAGGGGGGTTTTGCAGTTTATCTGGGTGACACAGAACTCAGATAAAATTTAGATTATTTTTAGTAGACACGCTTTTCCTCTTTCAGAGAGCTACTCTTTCACAAGAGTCTCTACGTTCCAGTGAACACGGTCACACCGGGAATCCAAAGCCATACAGGTAAGGCGCCATGTGTGGTAGACTCATTGGAGACTTTCTCCGCTCTGCAATTCTTCCAGCTCTAAGCTGTGCATGCGTGTGTGCATGCGTGTGTGCATGTCTGTGCATGTGTGTGTGTGCATACGTGTGTGCGGATCTGAGGAGGAGTGAAGTTGGGAACAGTCTGAGAATCACCCCTTTGGTCCGAGCTGAGGTAGAGGTAAGAGCCAGTAGCTGGCTGCTTTGTTTTTTCTGATCTTCAGCTTGAAGTTCGGATCCCAATATATGTCTATGAATCTTTTATTTATCGTGCTACAAAAATGTTTGTGGAAACTCCATTTCTGTTGTTTCTGGAGCTCGCAGAGTATAAAGATCTTGCAGTCTTTGAAATGCAGGATCAGAGTGGATGACTGAGAGCAGGACCTCAAACTTAGTCCAATTTATTTGGAGATGACCATGAACCAAACACTTGTATCCAGGGTATGTAGTCATGGAAGCATCTCAGCCCAGAGGTGCTGCTATCGTCCCATTGCACAGACTTGACAACTGAGGTCAAGAGAGGCTATGCAACCTTCCCGTAGTTACTATCGCTTAATAATAGAGCCAGTCTAGGATCTGACCACAGTCCTTGTGCCCCCAATCATTATTTTTCTGACAGTAGGGTTGCTGAAATTATAATCATAATCTCAAGCTTTCCCACCAGGAAAGACTCCATCTCTTCCTCCGGAAGCTGGGTTTAACAAGGAAGTCTCATTGGCAGCCTCAAGGAGAGCGTCAAATGCTTTTTAAATAAGGAGACAGGGGGTGGTAGGAACCAACGTGGCACATAGTCGTAGTGGGGCAAATGGCCGTATCCAGGGTTCAGGAAGACGTGATGAAATTGCTTTACCTGAAGTCAAGAATGTTAAGAGTCGGCTAACCGATGGAGATCACGAACTATCTGTCCTGCTGTTGTTTTTACACACAGATATTCTAGATATAACTTGGGAGCTTGGGCAGGTTCCTTCCCTCTCTGACTTGTATGCTAAAGCCACAAGGGGTCCCGGCTCAGTCTGCACAGGGCAGCAGAAGCCCCCAGCCTGGAGCTTATCACACAGCCAGTGAGTGCCAGTTCTAGTGCAAATTACAATGTCTGAGCACAGGGCATGGGAGGTCCATTTGTAAAAAATTCATTTGGTGTGTGTGCACATGTGCACCAACACACTGCATTCTACGAGAGAGTTTCTCTGTGTAGCTTTGGAGCCTGTCCTGGAACTCACTCTGTAGACCAGGCTGCCCTTGAACTCACAGAGATCCACCTGCCTCTGCCTCCCCAGTGCTGGGATTAAAGTTGTGCCCACCACTGCGCTGATGGAAATTTCTGTATAAATGTATTTATTTCAGCAAAGGAATTGATGGAAGGAAAACATTAAACAGATGATATTACCCAGGGCTCCTGGACTGTGTTGACATAAATTAGCCCATGGAAGGGTTTGTCAGGGACAGTGAGATCATGCCAGCTGAGCAAGGGCTGGGTGAAAAGTGAGAGAGAGAGAGAGAGGGAGCATTGTGTGTGGGTGAGGGTTCACTGCTGCTCAGTACTGAGGGCTAGGAGGTCAAAGTTCAGCTGGGGATTCCAACAGTCACCAACTTGTATAGACTTGTCAATAAGTGTAGTATTTGTGAACAGCCATATCTTACATTGTAAATGAATCTTTCTTCGTGTGTGTGTGTGTGTGTGTGTGTGTGTGTGTGTGTGTGTGTGTGTGGTGTGTTTGTTTCCGTAGATCCGAGGAGAAAATTAAGCACTTCAGTCAGCTGAAATCTGAGCTTTTCCTCCAAGACAACACTTTGAGGGAGATTCTGTGTGTAGTCACGGAACTTAGAGTAGCAGCTCAGAGGAATTTCATCCTGAAAAGACTTTTCTGGAAAGTAAGTGTCTTCTTACTCTTCATCTTTAAACCTTGTTTTATGTGCTTACCCAATTTAAACGTAACGTACAAGTACAAGTCGTAATTCTGATGCCGTGTTTTAAAAGTGGTGATTGTATTTAATGTAGATGTGTTTTAATACTGAAGGTTTTTTGAGGTAAGCGATAATATGTAAGTGGAAATGGGGGGTGGAGTTACCGAGTAACGAAGCAAGTCGAGCTTATATTGTAGAGGGAACGACTTCTGCAGGTAAAAGGGAGGGAAAGGGGGCTCTCACAAGTTCTTCTACACAGGTTTTCCTTTAGTAAGCATCTGTATTGAAAAAAAAAATGCCTTTAAGTAAAAGATTGGTATTTTTTTTTTCAAAAATATGATCCCCGGGGAATTCCAACAGCTTGATTCTCACGTGCAAGTCGAAAGTGCTTGTTTGGAGTTTTGGTTGGGAGGTGTTGGGAAGCCACCATGAGAAATAGTGAGCATTCCTGCGGTTGGTCCTGCCTGCTGTGTCACCCCGCCTCTTAGTGAGCAGCTGTGAAGTACATGAACACTGGTCGTTCAAGCCGTTGTTCAAGCTGAGTGTGCAGGAGAGTAACCATGTTGGATTTCCGGATGGCAGTGGCCTGCTGTCTTAGTGTGGCTGGCTCTGAGGAAGTCCCTGGGGTGTGGGTTAGCTGGGATGGCCTCAACAAAATCAACGTGGTCCGCTTCCCCAATTATATGAAAAGAGCCGCCGTAGAGAATAACAGGTCAGTTAATGATAACAGGGTTCGGGTGCTAAGCTGCACGGTCTGTAATGGTCAAATGTGGTTGATTATTAGGAACACACCATGCACACTTTGCCTCTAGGATTTCCTTCACAGGGTTGTGGGAAAACACAGGGGTGGGCACCAGGCCCTAGAATAACCAAGGACGTTGATTATGAAAATGAGATTCATACAGAAAGGCTAAAGAAATTGGATTATCTCCCACCCAAGGGCACTGCAGACCACCGCTGCCTGTGGCTTATCAGCTTAATCTACCCTAATTGTGTGGATTTGTTTGCTTAAAGACCTCTGTAGACTTCCTCACTAATCTGCACACAAACACGTGGCTTTGATATCCGGAAGGGCCTTTGTTTCAGCTGCGTGCTCAGGGTAATCAGTGGGCAGCCGTGACCTGGCTAGGGGAATCGCTCAGGAAACTGACCCAGCCCACGATTTTCCTAACAAGAAGTGTGCAGAGTAGGATGGGAGCTGCGTCAGCGGCCCAGGGAAATCACCCTTGAGCACCAAGAGATTCTGCTTCCTTAGGGTGCGGAGGCAGGCTCTCCGGGGAGCGACACGGATGATGATAGTCAGATGTAGATAGAGATTGTCAGATACACAACCAGGGGCTGGAGGTTGGCGGGTCAGAGCCCAGAGAAACGTGCTCGGATAACCTGAACACAGGGTTTGAAGGTGATTTTTAAGTCGGACAAGCACTAGCTGGGGTTAGAAAGGGGGAGAAGTGTGGCTGGCGGTAGTGTTTAAGAGCCTGCCGTCTCAGAGCAGGCGTGAGCCAGCAGTGGGTGACATTGCTGTGGAGCAGAAGGGAAAGAATGACATGCTGAGATCGTCCAGCCCAAGCTGGGTTTCCTGGTTTGTTTGTTGTTTTGGTTTGATTTTCAAGACAGGGTTTCTCTGTGGCTTTGGAGCCTGTCCTGGCTCTTTCTCTGTAGACCAGGCTGGCCTTGAACTCACAGAACTCCCAAGTGCTGGGATCAAAGGTGTGCGCCACCACCGCCCTGAGCTGGCTGTGATGACTCAAACTCCAGGCGGTACTCTCTGGAGGATTATCTGTTCTAGTTACAAGATTTTGTTTCATGGCCCTGGCTAAAGCCCTGGCTGGCGTTCCCTGTGTGTGACAGGCTTTGGGAGTCAGAGGCTGGGTGACGGCCCTCTGGAGCTCCCACAGAAGTGTGAGGAAGAACACTCCCAATTTCTGGTGTTGGGCAAGAAAATCCAAACTTACATTTACATTTCTTTGTTAAAGATGAACTTTGCGGGGCAGGAGAGATTGCTCAGTGGTTAAGAAAGCACACTACTCTTGCAGTGAGTGGTAGTGAGCAAAAAAAAAAAAAAAAAAAAGTATGGTTGTAAATCACTTCTTGGGTTGAAGAGGTGTTTTCTTTGCCCTTGCATGTATGGTTGGACTTTTAATAACTGTATCTGCATTATTTCCTTTCCCTCTTGCTTTTGCAGACCAGTGAGCTTTTCTACTTCCTAGTGGACAAACTTCATGAGTACTTGCCAGAGTCTAGGGATAAGACTGCACTTCAAAATAAAAGCCAGAGGGCCAATGAGCTGGTGTAAGTATCAACTACACGATATTAGCCCTCCCTGGCAGAGGTTCTCAACCTGTGGGTCGTGACTTCCTTGGGGCTGCATATCAGATATTTATGACTCATAACAGCAGTAAAACAAAAAAATCACAATTAGGAAGTAGCAGTGAAATAAGCTTATGTTTGGGGGTCACCCCAGCATGAGGAACTATATTAAAGGGCCACGGCATTCGGGAGGGTGAGAGCCAGTGCTGTAAGGCGTTAAAGATAAAGGGAAGACACGAGACAAAATATATGCTCTATTAAAGGTTGGTGGTGCAACTTTCACTTCACATAGATTTTTAAATTTTAAAAATGTATTTATTTATTATTATTATTTTTTTTGTAAAAAAGGGTCTTGTAGTCTGGAATATTCTAGAACTCATTATGTAGACAGGCTGGCCTCAAACCTATTTCCCAAGTGTTAGGATCACAGGTTATGCCACCATGCCATGTTCTCACATGCATTTTTAAAAATAGCATTAAAAAAATTAGTGCACATGTAAGGGATTAGTAATAATGACTGCCCTCAAAATGAGACAGACATATTTCCTTATTAAAAAATGTAAAGTAGTGGCTCAGTGGCCAAGAGTGCAACCTCCTCTTGCAGAGGACCAAGCACCCACATCTGGTGGCTCACAACCCCCTGTGACTCCAGCTCCAAGGGGACCCAACGCTTCTAGCCCCTGTGAGCACATGCGCTCATGTGTATAAGCCTACATTCAGGTATACACATACAAATATTTGCAAATAAATCGTTGGAAAAACTATGCATTCAAAAATGCTTCTGCGTGTGCCTTGACCCTGACGTGAAGCTCCTAGTCAGCCAGTAGGCACATCCTGGCTGTTCCGTGTGTAGCAGTGCCAGAGGAGGTATTCAGCCAGCACTGGCAACTAGATACCCAGAGTTTGATGGACTTTCGGCTACATGAGTATCTGAAAGCAGTTCTCTGACGACTCACTGCGTTCGTGGGATTCCGACCCGCGGCACGATGCCACGTCCACGGTTTTTGCTCTGCTATATTTGCTCTTATTTCCTAGGGCGTGTATTGAAATTATACAGACCCTGGGACTGATGTTCAGGGAAACAGAAATTGAATCGTCACGACTGACCACTCTGGCCGCTAAGAAGTAAGGGTTCCGTGTGCGTTTGTCTTGTTGTTGTTTTGTGTTTTAGGAAGCCATGGGGATGGTGTAGTCTCTGCTACCGCTCCTGCTATTTCCTGTTTCCCGGCTCTAGCTGGAGTTGTGAACCGGGAAGAATGCGGCCGAAAATGAGCCGGACTAATTCATTAGTCCGCTTACGTAAAGCAATAGCCAGCTCAAGTCAGAGCATCAGACAGCATAGACTCTGAGGGTTGAGAAGAGTCAGCTGTGTAAGGTGTTCAACCACAGGGACGAGCTGCACATGGCAAAGACACGCTTTTCCGTAGAGGCACATGAGTAACAGCTGAAGTGAACCCGCTGCTCTCCGCCACACCTGGGAAGGGCAGGGAGGCGCATTCCATGAGCGGCTGTGGTTTCGGAGAAACTGACGTCACAGGGATCTTGTTTTCTCACGAGCACCCAGAATGCCCCTGGAACAGCTCCATTCTTGACCCTCGTCCTGTAAAACCCCTTGCTCTCTAACCCCTCTCTCTGGTCACCCCCCTTGTGACAGTCCTATAGGTTAATCGGCGCCTGCTGGATTTGTTCTGTCCCTCTGCATCTTGAGGGCACACAGATTTTCTCTGCATAACACCTTCTGTGATAGTTCAGTAGACTTGAAAAAGATGGAATGACCCAGCATACAGCAAAAGCCTGGGAAACGGGGTCTCCATTGGAAATAGCCCTCAGCAGAAAATTATATTTGCTAAAGCAAGAGTTGCTGTAGTCACATTTTTATTTGAAGTTACGGGCTGCTTAACCATGGGGGATGTCTGCTTATAGAAATTTAGATGGAAACCATGCTGGGAAAACTCACAGAAACAGCTGACCCGAGCAAGTGGGAGCTCATGGACCCCAGTCTGTCAGCTGCGGAACCTGCATAGGACCGAACCAGGCCCCCTGAACGTGGGTGTCAGCCAGAGGACTGGGCAGTCCATGGGGCCTCTGGCAGTGGAGCCAGGATGCATCCCTAGTGCATGAAGGGACTTCAGGAGACACTCCCTTAGCCTAGATACACAGGGGAGGGCCTAGGCCCTACCCCAAATGAAGTGACAGACTTTGATGATCCCTCATGGAAGGCCTCACCCTCCTTGGGGAGTGGATGGAGGATGGGACGGGGGAGTCAGTGGAGGGCATGGGAGGGAGAGGGAACTGGGATAGATATGTAAAATAAGATTGCTTCTGATTTAAATAAAACTTATTTAAAAACACCTAGGCTATATGGTACATGTATATTTATTCACACACATAAAATAGATGAAATGTATGTATGTATATATACATATACATGTACATATATTCATATCATACTGCTTATTGTCCCTACGGCCTTCATAAATTAAACAGCAAGTGATTCCATCCAGCAAAAGTTTTCCCATGCTGCTTTGCCCTCATGTCCTTCGCAGGAAGTAGAAGGGCACCGAGGGCAAGGATGTGTTCTTCTAGAGCAAGGCCTATAGCCCTGGCTCTCACACTCTATTGGCGTCTGCTCTTCTCTACCCTAATTTAAGAACAATGGCCTTGGATTGTTCCACTTGGTTTGGTCCCGTCAGCTGTATCAAACCTTCCTCCCAGGTAAGGGGAGCCGAGCCGTCAGTATGTGCGTTCAGGAGCTGCAGCAGAGCGTGGCGATAATATTAATCTTCAGGCACTTTTGCTATGCATAGGGTTATCATATAATATGATAGTGTTACATCTATCAGATTGCATAAGCTTAGTGAGTTAGACAGCATTTAATTATTCTCTCACAACTGCATGGGTCAGGACTCTGGGCAGGGTTAGCTGGGTCCTGGGCTCCTGAGTTCAGCGTTTCCATTGTGGTGTTGACTGGATTCAGCATCCTCATAAGCTCATGTGAGCGGTGGTTGAGAGAGCAGCTGTAGCCGGCGGGCTGTCTGCGAGTTCTGAGGAAGCCCACTGCTGCAGGGTTCGGCTGACTAGATCACGCCTACCCAGGATCATTTCCTCCAGACTGACTAAGAAGTCAACTGATGACGGGCTGTAGTTGTATGTGAAGAGCCCTTCATATTCACAATCTGATATGGCACATCCATCAGTGATAGCCACTTACAGTCACAGGCCAGGCCCACACATAGGAGAGGGGATCATATGGCGTCTGTATTCTCCTGTGGGGTAGCAGTGCTGTAGATCATATGAGAACGTCACCTTCCACGATACCACGGACTTAGACCTCCAACATCTGCACTCTAAAATAGAGTGTAATATGTTTAAAATCCATATATTATAAATAATAACAATCGGAGTAATAAAGCCATTCAGTTGTTGGGATAATTTTTAAGTCTGTGATGTCAATCCTAGAAGTCTCTATTTTCTGGAGGAGTGACTGAAATTGTTGGCCCGGAGAGTTTTAAATTAAGTCATTTGTTAGAAGGCGTAGATTTCAAATGAAATTCCATTTGAGGAAATAAAGAAGCAGTATTCATTTAGCGTTTCCTCTTTATTAGTTCCCAGAGTGGAAACTTTGTTAGTTCAACCCACCTTGCTGCGTCCTTGAATGTGTGGTGTTCTTTTGTGTTTCAGCATGGTTGTGGTTGGATTCATGTGTTATCACAGTAAGAGACCTAGAACTTCAGAGTTCTTTCTCTTAGCTCTGAAAAGAAACTGTAACTAAAAATAAAGGACTGTAATTAAATAGAACAGAGAACGGGATGTCAGTTCAAACTTGCTATCTAGAAAGAGCTTCCAAAAGAAGTGTTCTGGGGGCTGTGGAGATGACTTAATGGATGAGAGTACTTGCTGAGAAAGTGTGGGAACCTGAGTTCAGAGCCCCAGAATGGACATAAAAGGCCTGGCAAGGTTGTGCTTGCCTGCAACCCCAGTCCTGGGGTCCGGGCCAGGGAAGAGATGGGAAGATTGCTGTGGCCTTTCTGATAGTAGCCTGGTTCCAAGTTCAGCGAGAGGCTGTTCGAAGGGAATAAGAGAGACAGTGGTAGACTAAGATAACCCTGCTCTGCCCGACACACGCAGGAACGCAGCACACCCAAACACATGTGCACACATGCAATGCACAAACAAACTCACAGAAGAGTATTAGAAATAAAAAGGGAATGTTCTTTTGATTGGAAAGGTCTTACAAAAGTGAGTTTGACTGTTTTATTATTTCATAACTCCATGTGCCTAGGTAGAGCTCCACACTGTGTAGCTGAGGACAACCGTGAGCTGACCCCCTGCCTCTGCCCACTCAAGTGCTCAGATTGTAGGCACGTGCCTTAATGCCCAGTTTATTCGGTGCTGATGGCCACGCTCAGGACTTGCACATGCTACGAAGACACTCCACCCATTGAGTTAACTAACACTCCCTGCTGCAAGCCTGGTCATTTTAAATTGCACAAATAAAACAGTAGATATTGTGAACGATCTACACTATCGTGTGTGTGTATTTAGAAATGTAGCGTGTATTAAGAACTGGACTAGCTTTTTGAGTTGGAAAACAGGAGAACTGTATATTTTGGGCTTCTGATCATGGTAATGATTTAAATGATAGCCTAGGAAGCATACAGGATTCTGTGTTTCTCTATGAAAAGCACATTTGTGCTGTGAGATGGTGGCGCAGGCCTTTAATCTCAGGGCAGGGAGGCAGAGGCAGGTGGATCTCTGTGAGTTCGAGGCCAGCCTGGTCTACAGAGTGAATTCCAGGACAGCCAGGACTACATAGAGAAACCCTGTGTCAAAAAATTAAAAAAAAAAAAGGAAAACAAAAACCAAAGTGCCTGTAAGTTTGACTCCACTGTTTTCCCTTTACAAGCTTTACCCATTAATTGCTTTTTATTCATTTTTTTTTTTTTTAGGGGAACGCTGCTTAATCTCTTAGTAATTTTAATTAGCAAGCCTAAGGTTCCAAAGTCTTGCTCGATGTCTAACGACGGCCAGCCACCGTCTGATTCAACGTCAGCTGAAATGTCTTGTGATGCTCAGGTGAGAAGAGAACTTGGAGGGAAGAGAACCCTAAGGGTTCATGGTTTTTATGTTTTAATGGGGACCATGGTGCCGTAGAATACAGAAGTATGTTTATATTAAAGAGGACATGTTTTTTATTAACCTAAACCTTAACTATTTGGCCAATATCAATGTATCCCTTTTGTCTTTCCAGGTATATCAATTAAGGAAAATAATACTGTTTAAAAATTGTATTCATCTAAATGTCTTTCTGTATATTATTCACATACATGTAGTTCCATAGTAGAGATTTGACCAAGAAACCAACCAACCAAACAACCAACCAACCAAACAAAGAAACACAAAAGCTTCCAAAAGAATGTCTCCCAAATTTCCAGGTCAACTTGGACTGTAGTTTATGCTAACAAGTGGTTAGTGTTTACTTAGTAAGTAAGCGTCGCTTCTTTTGCTAAAGTTTTAGCAAATCATTAGAAATATGACACTGTACCGAAGGTGCATTCCCAAGAGAACACGCCAATGTACAATCACTGTGTTTTGAGCCAATCAGCATTGATTTGTTTTTTTTAAAGAGCAGGGTCTGGTTCTACAGTTCCTAAGCATACAATGGGGGCTGTGCTTCCAAAGGGTGCAACCCCCCCCTCCCCGTATGTGTTCACTGGTTATCTGTTATGAGAGAACACTGCTAGGCAGAGGTCCAAAGAGGAAGCAAAGCGGAAACAATTTCTGCAGCCACAAATTCAACAAGGTTCACCGTCAAACTAGTTCACGACCAGGTGAGAGGGACGGGTGTCACTGAGACGCACCGTGGCCGTATACGGAACACCCGATGCACACTTGGAAACAGCAGAGTCTGCGAGAAGCACAATGCAGATGGGTGGAGCCGTTAAGCGGCGTATACATGCACGGTGTCCATGTAGCTTCTTACATACATACCATGCGTACACAGTATGGGAACACATGCCTGGGAGCCCCGCACTTAGGAGGTGAAGGCAGGACTGCGAGCCGCGGATCAGCCTTGCCTTATACAGTGAGACCTTTTTGAGGAGGAGGAGAGGAGAGTACAGTTTAGCTAAGGGATGGCAGAAGTCGGAAGGAAACCCCGGGGCAGGGAGGCAGAGCTCAGCAGTTAAGAGCGCTTGCTACTCTTGGAGAGGGGCCAAGTTCCGTTCCGAGCACCCACATGGTAGCTCACAGCTATGTAATTCTAGTTCCAGATGTCTGGTGCCCTCTTCTGCCTCCATGGGCACCAGGCCCACATGTGGTGCACATGTATTCATGCAGGCACAGCATTCATACACATGAATATATATGTCCGCACACACACACCTTTCCGGGAAGGACTAGAGCAAATGGGATGGAAAGTGGGCATGGCAAATAGAAATTTAAACCAGAAACCTCTTTTCAAGGCTCTGGAGGGAAATGGCTTTTCTGGCCCACTGATGACTGTTGAAAATTCTAGTTACAGAAGCTTATCCTGGAGTATACGGACAAGGCTACAGCCCTGCTCTATGAGACTCTTCTTGTTTTTCAGCAGGTAGAGCATGCATCTTATAATTCTAATATGATTGTGTTATAGTTAACAGTGTGGGGGGCGTGGTCTCTAACATTGGCTGGCCCTAGTGACACCACGATCTCTAGCTCATCAGGGCTATTGTGGTGATTTTTACAGAAACTGACTTTAGAGAATTGATTGTTTAGGATAAAAACATATTTGGGAGTCTTTTAAATACGACCCAGACGTAATGAATGTGACTTGTTTCCTTGAGTCTCTAGGGAAATCTTGGATTGGGATCCACAAAGTTTGCTATTAGCTGGATGATGTCAACCCTGCAGAGCTGCCCTCCCACAGTGAGTATGGGCAGAAAAAGACCCGGCTTACCGGATACTTCATTCTTCATTGGTAAAGCATGGGCATCGTCTTATGCACAAGCAAAAGATAATCTTGATGATTTTGTTATTTAATGAAAATGGAAAGAAAACATTTTTTATAATTGAGACCTGAACTAAAGGTATTAAAATTATGTCTTAGGATTAGCTTTATTTTATTTTTTTAAAAAAATCGAAGGTATATGTAGCAAACAAAATGTTAAGTTGCTGGCTTGTAAACTGAGTAAAAACGTTGGCATTTGCGGTAGGTAGAACACTTGAGATTGACTGTGTGCTCTGCCCCTGCAGCCTCCTCTCTGGTCCCAACTCTGGTCTCTTAGAGCCCATTCACGTCCAAATGGTCCATGTCTGTCATTCTACCAGATCACAGCCAGAGGGAGCTATTTAAAACAAAAACAGTGGTTGCCATGCCTTGCTATTAGCTGGATGGTCTCTGCAGCTTTTCTTTGCTAACCTCCTGCCCAGGCCTGTGGGGCGGGCGGGCCATCTTATAGCTCTGCAGCCTTCTCTGGTCCCTCTTTTGCCCTGCCATGTGCATCTCTCAATGGCCTGCCCTCGTCCGCCACTGACTCCGTCGCTCTATCCTTTCCTCTGTGTTGGTTTTAGTCTGTTATAACAGGATGGGTCATTGATAAAAGAGAGAGGTTCGTTTGGAGACTGGTTGGTTTGATACCGTAGCCTGTCTTCCCCTTCCCCAGAGCTTGTCACCTTTGCAGTTTGCATTGGCTTCTGTTGTCGTGTGCTTCTGTCCTATGGTAGCCTGTGTGTCCCAGCACACTTTCCTCTAGGCACATGGTAGGAGTGGGCTTCTCTCTTCACTCGATTACTTTGGCCTGAGTCGCTTCCGGGCAGAAGTTGTACAAGCTTGGATAGCATGCTTCCCTAGATTCGCTTTCCCTTCTGGAGTGCTTGCTACCTGTTGTGTTTCACCCACTGGTGCGCCTGAGTGATGGTGAACAGGGATGCCCGCCCACTGACCTCTAAGGGCTGTGTGATGTGAACAAATGACCGAGCTTTTCTGTTCCTTAGAGGGCATTGGTAGTTTGAGGTTTGCTATAGATCTAGTCCATCATGACTGAGGCGATAGCTTTCTCCATGGGTCATGGAGACAGCAATATGTCTAGCGTCCGAGATCTTTCCCTCTCCTCGTTCATGCATTCAGTTAATCAACACATTTACTAGAAATCTCTTCAATAGGTAGCACTTGGCACTGGTGAGAAGGCTCGGTGGGTAGAGGTGATTGTTGACAAGCCTAAGGAACTGAGTTTGTTCTCTGAACCCAATATGATAGGAGAGAACAACTTCTATGAGTTGTCTTCTGGATTTGACAGGAGGGTAGTGGCCTGCACACCCATGCACATATATGTGCACACGCACACACAGGTGGTAAATGGAGTGCACACACAGGTTGAGACTGTGAGCAAGGCACTTGTCATGAGGCAATGTGTTCTCTTTCCATGCGTGAGCGGACGCCCTGTGACCTACTTTTCCAGAGTGACGATGTTGAGTCCGTCCTGAAGAAACTGTCTTCTCTTGTCAGATCCCCGTGGCACATTTATGCAAAGCCGGTCAGGGGCCAGTGTACTGTATCAGTGGGATAGCCTGCTGCCCCAAAGAGATTGAGATCTCGATGTTGTCCCGCGAGTGACTGCATTCTCTCCCTCTAGATGGGTTTTGTGGGCAGCATCGTGAGGCGTGTGGTGGACCGGCTTTCAGCCTCGCTCCAGCTGCTGACTCCCTGCCAAGCGGTTCTGCTGTACCAGCAGCTTTATATCCTCAAGAGCTGCCTGCAGTATAGCAAGGCCCTCGCCGAGTATATCAGGAACCACCACAGCGAAGAGTTCAGGTAAGGGAGAGAGAGCGCATCCAACCAAAATGCTCGCTCGTCCAGTCAAAATGCTCGCTGCTCAATTCTCTTGGCCACTTACAGCAGGACCTGTGGTGGATGTGGTGGAAAACTCCACTTTTGTTTTTTAGTAAGACTTTATTTGGCCACAGGTACGCTGAAATTTGGGACATGTCTAGGAACCGCTGCCATTTGAGGAATGTCCCCAGCCCAGAATCTACTTGTCACTCATCGCCTTGCTTGTGTGCAGCCTGTGCAGAGATTTACTGTGGGATGGTAAATTATGAGTTCAGGCCAGTTGCTGCATGCATGCTGGGAGTGACCAGTCAGTAAAGGGGGATGCACTGGGGCGAGTGCTGTCGATTTGTTTCACTGACTCTTTCCCACCCCAGTGACTGGACGGCAAAGGGCAGTGGCCAGTATTGGCTCTGTCTGTACAGTGGCCTGTTCTGTTGCCTCTCAGGGTCCCACTTCTACTGCAAGGCTACTAAGGCCAAGTGCGCTCGGCACTACACCCTGAGCTAACAAGTATTCAAGGAAAACTTGGGTCATCTTTTTTTTTTTTTTTTTTTTTTTTTTGGCCACAAACGAGAAGGGTGCAGCCTGTGTGGCCTCCCCCATGGCTCAGAGGGAGGCATCAAGAGATTTGGAGGCACACATTATGGCTTTATATTGTCTTCAAAAGGGATAAAGTCAGCCCTCTGTGTAGACTCTGTGTTTCCTGCATGTGGCATTATACCAGAAGGTCCATTCTGGATACCATAAAAGGGATTTATTTGGCTCCACGCTGATCCACAAATCAGACCCAGCAACCCCCCTCCTGCTTTCTAACTCCCTTTTCCTTCTCCCTAGGAAAAATTGACATAGCCCGAAATTTACCCCTCTGGAGCATATAATTTGGTAGCTTTGAATACATTTCGCAATATTTGCAACCATCACTGTTGAACTGTAGAACATTGTCGTTATCTAAGAGAAACCCATTCCTCCCTTCTCCCAAGGGCTGGCAACCACTTACCTACCGCCTTCTCACAGCCATCCTGCGAGCGGCCTTTTGCCTCAGGGATTTCATTTATCATAATGCAACATTTTTTCCATGTTGTAGCATGTATAGCACGAAAACTCCCCGTCTCAACCGGATTTTCCGTTTTTGAGATGAGGTCTTGCAGTGTAGCCCAGGCTAGTCTAGAACTCATTGTGTAGCTTATGTTGGTCTTGAACCCATTGCAAACCTCTTGCTCTAAGAGCCTGAGAGATGTACACATAGGCGTGTGTCACCATGCCTAGCCTAATGATAAAAGACCTAGTTATAAACTTCAAAGCCATCGGGACAGCTGGTAGCAGTAGCTGGCTGGGGCTCCCAGCAGGGCCCTGTCAGGAAGATTGGGTGCCCTTTGGTACCATCTCCCTCCTGCTCACGCTTCCCACCACACTGGTTTGCATCTCTTGTGGACATCCAGGTTTGCAATTTTGTTTCAGTCTGGTGGCTTCCCATCCACTTTGCACTGATGACTTTGACCCTACTGTGATCCTTCTGTCTTGGTTTTCCTGGGGGCGTGGTCTGGGTACCGGCAGCTTTTAACAGCTCCCGCAAGTGATTCTGTTAATCGCTCAGGGTGGAGAAGCATCTGATGCTACCCAGGGGGCTGGCTGAAGGCTCTCTACATCCTCACATAGAAGCCTCTATGTAGAGGACTCGGAGAAAAGCCCCACCCTTTCCCCTTGACTGGTCCTCATGGGTTATCTCGGCCTGACCCCACCCGCCTCCTCCATTCTGTGTATTGTCTGAGGGACCCAACATCAGAAGCCTCGCACATACTTTGGTGAACGCAGCCCTGTCCTGTCTCGTCTTCCTGGTTACTGCCTACGTGGTGGATCCGTTGTTAATTCATTTCTCAAGTAAGGTACCTAGGCTCACTGAAATGCACACATAGCAAAGATTTTTAGGTCCTGAGTACGGGAGGTTGGAAGTCTGCAGATGTGGAGTCTTGTGGTTAAGACTCCCCTGACCCCCACCCCCAAGAGTGAGTGTGAACATGCTGGATGAGCCAACATGAAAATTCTCATTTTTAAAGGTGCTTTGTTTCTCTGTGATTTGCAGGTACTTCATTCACATGCCAGCCTTGGAAAGGAGGCTCCCGGTGTGGTACCCTATTACGGAGCCCACCACTCAACTCTGTCATGAGGTTCTACAATTGATTGAACAGAGACAATATGCAAAATGCTAGAGAAGATAAAGTATAAAGTGTCCATTTAAGTCAATATTTATGAGAAACAGCCTTTCTATTTATTATCTAGCTTTTCCTGGGTCTTGTGGAGATTTTAGTTAAATGTTCACTGACTCCCCTTTGGGAGGTATTACTTTTTAAGTCACCATGCCTTTTTTAAGTCACCATGCCTAGGCTGAGAGCATGCATCTCCATGGTAGCATCCTAGCATCTATGAAGACGTGGGTTCAATACCAGCACAGAAAAAATGAAACGAACAAACTAAGCACCACAAACACCATCTAAGTCTTTACGTAAAGTGGTGTACTGCTCCAGAACGAAAGGTTCCTTAGAGACGGGCATCCCAGCACGGGGCACAGAAGAATCCAGAGACCGGTGTGCACAGTAGATCTGGTGGGTTCTGCTGGTGCAATATGGGTGAATGGTAGACACCCACAGCAAGATGGTTGTAAGAAGTACGAACTGCACAGTGAGCTTGAGGGAATTGCCCAGCAATGGCAAGGCACCTTCTCCTCCACCTGGAAATGTCCCTAGACAAACGTGTCTGGGTAGCAATGGTCAGGGGAGCAGTCACAGGTGCACAGCCATCCAAGGGAAACCAGGCCAGAATTCCTGTGGCAGAGCACCTGCTTCCTGCCTGAGGTGGGACAGTCTGAGCCATCCTGTGGAAGAGAGGCTACTCTTCAACTTTGCAGCGCTCACAACCACTTCCAAAAAGGCCTCCACCACGCCGTGTGGCCACACATGAACTGAGTCACAAGAGGCTCCCTGTGAGCTGATGGGTTTGGACGGCTAAGAACACCAGAGCTGGGCTCTGTCCAGCATGTGACGGCTTGAGGGAGGAGCACAGGAACATCCCTGGCCAACTCTGCCAGTGATGGGTAGCAGAACCACGGCTGGGCAGCTGGGGATGTTGTTGAGGAGACATAGGTTCTTGCCATTAGTTTGCCCAGCAATATTCAAATCAATTATTTTACGATGACTGATTTTTATTCTACAACATCCCTATGACTTTTGACTGATCGCTCAAGATATTTTTTTTTTTAGATTTAATACTTAAAGCAGCTTTGTGAATATTCCATGTAAACGTGGACCTGTTCTAGGTGCTGCTGCTCACTTGTCTAGTATGTAGGAGGCCCTGGGTTGAGTGCCCAGCATCACCAGGAAAAAAAAAAAAAAAAAAAGAATTGGCTTCTGAATATGAGACTTTGTGTTAAAACTGCACACACGGAGACACTTTTCGCTTCTCAAATTGCTCCGCTGAGAGGCTGTAGGTGGGTAAGGAGGGAACCTTCTTATTTGTTCCATCCCTCAGCTGCAACAAGGCTGTGTGCGCCTACTCTCAGCATGGCAGCCTCCGCCTCGCTTTGCTCAGCTTCCCACAGGCCATCCTTGCAGCTCTAGTAATGACTTAATGTGCCAGCATCCCAGGATCCCACCGTTTACAAGTTCTTATGTGCTGGTTTTATTGCCAGCACGATATTTAATACACAGAGGCAGAACTACTCAGACTTCCCAGGAACACATAAATGTAGCTCTGAGTTTTCAACTTAAAAAAAAAAAAAACAAAAAAAAACAAACAAACAAACAGAAAAAAACCCAAAACCTGGTATACTTTTAGGTTCAATATATTGTTTTGACACATTGATAAAAATATTTTTGTTTGCAGATTATTTATAATAAATTGCTACACTTATTTGTTTGTGTGAGGGCTTTTTCTGTTTTAGTTTGACTTTTTAAAGGTCTTAGGTGTTGCACTTTTGCAATACATATACATACATACATACATATATATTTATATATATATGTATGTATGTATGTATGTATATACATATATATATATATATATATATATATATATATATATATAAAGCACATATATAAAACATAAGAAAACCTTCATTCAAGAATCTCATTTCTGGTTCTGACTCACATAAATCTTTGACTTCAGCCAGAAGATCCTCTTTCTAGGCTCTGTTTCTTTCTTTCTGTTCCTTTACTGTGTAGCAGGATGAGGCTGAGTGGTCTGCAGCTCCTTCCCTGGTGTTCTTTGCCTGTAAACAACACTCTGTTGTTCGTTGGTTTTATTCTCACACAGCCCAGGCAGGTCTTGTGCGCTCCGTGTGGCCGAGGATGACTTTGAACCCCTGATCCTCCTGCCTCTATCTCCCAAGTGCTGGTATTAGCAGGTGTGAACCACCACACCTGGCTTTGTACACACTTTGTTGTCTTTTATTTTTATGTGTAGGTTTGTAGAGATCGGAAGAAGGTGGCATGGGATCACTTGGAGCTGGAGTCCCAGGGGGTTGTGAGCGGACTGATGTGGGTGCTGGAAGCTGAACTCTGGTTCTCTGGCAGAACAGCAAGGGCTTTAAACCACAGAGCCATCCGTCCTGCGCATCCCACCCCGTGTATGAGAAATGGTGTAGTGTTCGTTCCTCTGCAGTGCTGGCTCAGTAGATTCCAAATAACCCTGCACCGCCACACAGTCTCCAAGCCTTCTCTCTGCAAGCCATTCTCTATCACCCATCGCCACACAGTCTCCAAGCCTTCTCTCTGCAAGCCATTCTCTATCACCCACCAGGGAGTCTGTGTGTCTTTTGTTCCTCCTTAGCCGGTAGGGAGGGGAGCAATGAGTGTCCTGGCCTGTTAGATGGAGAATTGTGAATCCGAAGAGAGTGTGGGCAGCGCTGCTTCAAAGGATGGCTACCGGGAAGTCGGCTCTGCTCCGTCCAGTCCCTGACTCTGAACTGGTGTCAGGGTCTCTCGGGACCCGGTGCATCCCTGCCCACCTTCCCTTTCCTCGTGTACTGCAGCCACACTCAGGGAATTTGTGCAAGCGAAGGCTCAGCGTGGTAGACCATACGGCCATTGTCTTTTATGTGCTGACACCTTGTTTGTATAAATAAAGCCCTCAGAGTCTGAGGGTCCCCGCGGGGCATCTTCCTCCCGAGTGAGTTTGTGTCAGCAGCCACACCCCCCTCTGGGAGGGGCTTCAAGCATTTGTGTCCGTGGCCACACCCTCTGGGCGGGACTTCAGTGTATTTGGGTTGGTGGCCACGCCCCTTTGGGAAGGGGCTTCAGTGTATTTGGGTCGGAGGCCACACCCCTTTGGGAGGGGCTTCAGTGTATTTGGCTCGGTGGCCACGCCCCCTTCGGGAGGGGCTTCAGATGCATCCGGAACCGGAATGAGGGAAGCATGACCGTGTGAGGCGGGGCTTCTGGGTCTCGCATCTTCGAAGGGCAGAGAAAAGGCAGCGGCGGTTCTTCACTGTCCTGTGTAAGTCGTTCCCCAATAAAGCACCCGTTTATCACTTATCTTGGCTCTAGAGAACTCATCGCACCTACGTCTGCCTTCAGGTCAGCACATAGACGTCTGTGCAGACAGACAGGAAGTGAGGTGGCGGGCGGGACAGGAAGTGAGCTTCAGGTTACCCATAATATCACATCTATCATCAGGCATCAGCTCACCCTCTCCAGCCAGCACCAGGAGCTCCTCCCAGGGAATGGTGGGCTGATCTTCTTGCCTGGGTTGATCCAATCACGCTAATTCCCCAACGGGATTCTAGTTCTCATCAAGTTGACAGCTGAGGTAACCATCGCCACGTTACTCTTGAACAACTCAGTCCATCCCTTTAAACCATAATCTGCCACCCCTTGTCCCCGAAGTCTCGGGTAAACTGTAATCCAACTTCAAAAGTCTCACCGTCTGTCTTTAACAGCAAGGTATCCAAAACGGTCAAAGTAGTCAGCAGCTACCGGGGCAGGGGCAGCTACCCGGGCAGGGGCATTGCTGTTCAGTCTAGAGGACACGTACACGAGTTAACAATTTGCCAAGGGTGAATGAACACATTTTATTGTCTATGCTTGAGGTATATACATTGTATTATAAGAAGCATATGCAGTAAAATCGATTCTGTAGTGAATCAAACTAATCTGTCTAGGCTTATGATTTTTTTATGATTTAAAAATTGCTCCATAGTTAGACCATAATTTTTGCCTTGATTTCTCTTTCTTCCTAATCCACCTGTGCCCTCTGCTGGTCATAAATGCTAATGGAGGCAAAATGCCATGTTCCTGCTATAACTCTTAACAGGCCCCCAGACCTTAGTAAACCCTGAGACCTTAGCATGACTGACTCCATGATGGAAGCATCATCCAGACCATAAAACCCAGCACATAGACAGCACCACCTGCCAACACAAGAAAAACCTAAGCCATCTATCTAGTCTGTATCTTTCTCCTCTAATATGAGCAGTTCATTAGAAACTTTGTAAATGCTGGATGATTATATCAGGTAGCTCACTTGTCAATTAACTTTTCTAGTCAAAGGCTGGGAGGAGGGAACTTTCTATGATTTTCTAGAGTTTGGACCTTAAATACCCACCCCCCCCAGGCCCATGTGTTTAAAGATGTGATCCCAGCAGCTGATCAGTGTACAGAGACTACGCCTTTATGGAGTGCTCAGCCACAAATTGGAAATCCGTGTCACACACACACACACAACTCAAAGGCTCAGTAATGGTCTCGGAAGTGAGGTCACATTGTGAGAGTCAGAGGTTGTAGGGCCTGGCGGACAAAGCGGCATCCTCTGCACCTGACAGGGACTGCTGTTCTCATGGTCTCACAGCTTCTGCACAGGATCAAACCAGCATGGCGGGGGTGGTCATGAGCCCCCACTGCTCGCTGAGGAGCCATGTATAGTTTATGGCATTGTGGGAAGGGGAAGTTGTTTTAAGGGTGTGAATGGCCCCACACCTGTGAGTCCATGATTGGATTTACGGTCCACTCCAAGAAAATGAAGCCACACCTGTCCATATGAGATCCCTTTGTTGGAACTAAACCCATGTGTGCCTCCTGGCAGCCTCAGGCCCTCACTCTCTCAGGTCGGCTGTTACTAGCATTGCTTTATATTAAGTCCCACCTGGGGCAGCTTCTCACAGTGGACATGTCAAAGAGGAGACATACCATCTGTCCTCGGAGCTGGCAAATGGCGGGGAGAATATTAAGTTGTCTGTCTGAAGCCCCGAAGGTTA